GAGTGAAGTAAGTGGGCTAAAACTAACTTCGCATCTGGAGATGTGTTCTTGGATAACATCCCTCTGACGTCATCTTGAGAGAGAATGTAATTTCCATGAAATCTTTTGTGAGACGAAAACAATGGACAAGAGACCAAGCACTTTCAGACAATACTGCAGGTCACGTAGTCGGTTTACAGATAGCCTGTACGTTTTCATAAAATGCTAATAATCTGGATTTCTCTGGGCTCGGAGACAAGTCTATCTATCGCGCTAATGGTCTCCTTCTAGAGAATGGGGTGGCACTCCCAGCACCCTTGCACCGGCTAAGGGGGCCTGGGGACGGGAGGCAGGAGGGCCGGGGAGTTCTCCCCACGTGACACGGAACCATCCTCCTCCCGTAAGCTCCAGCCATTTTTTAAGACGTTTTACACGGAACTGGTGGCTGCGATCAAATATTGCGAAACCCTGCGATGTGCATGACCGTCTCGCTGCGGTTCTCTGGGAGCCGCGCCCTGGCAGCCCGCGCGCGGCGGCAGGCGCTGGGGCGCAGCAGCCGGAGGGCACGCAGGCCGAGCGCCGCGGGTCCTTGCAGTGCGGCTGGCCGCGTGCTTGCCCTCGACCCAGCCACTCAGCCACGCACAATGCAAACTGTAAACAACAACAATAAAAAAACATTAAAAAAAAAAAAAAAGCTTGCTTCCCGCGGTCTGTTTGCTAATCTCCAGCCTCGGATCCCTCCTCAGCCGAAGTGCCGTCCTCTCCGCGCCGGGTCCCCGCGCGGCTCCAGTCGCACCCCTGTGCCTCCTGCTCGGGAACCGTGCGCGGCCGCAAGCCTGTCGCGCCGGCCTGGGGGACGCGCCAAGCGGGCTGTGGACCGGGTTCGGGCAGCGCCATCCCGCCTCACCTTCGCCCTTGGAAGGAGGCGCGTGGCACCCGCGGGGCCGGGACGCACGGCGCCCTGCTGCGGCCAAGCGCGCTCGCGGCGCTGGGAAGATGCTCGTCCCGGGGAAGGCAGCGCTCCTGCAGGGAGGCTTCCCCGCCTTTGTCCCTCGCGGCGCGGGCTCCCGAGCTGGATGCCGGCGCAGGTGCGCCTCCGCCTGCGCCAGGTCTACGGGCACCGGGGACTGGAAGGGGGTGCAGCTGGGGCCCACGTACCGCCTCGGCGGCGCCAAGGTCCCCACCCTTAACCCCAGGCCGCGTCCCACCCTCCCCGTTGGGCGAGCAGGACCTCTCCGGTCGGTCGCACGCCTGCCTCCACCGAAAAGCGAGAAAAGCCGCGCGTTAGCACGCTGGGCAATCAATCTCACCAAAGTTAGCAACGATGCTTAAAATGTTTTATTTTTCCTTTGTTTGTTTACCTCTTTAAAAATATTTACAGATCTGAAATCTTCCCCCCTTTCGCCCCTACCCATCCTCGGGACGAGGAAATCGAAAAGAGGCGTTGCGGTAATTGTCCAAAGCCCCCGGCTGTTGTGCGTGTGCATGTACATACATACAGGTATATATATATATATATATATATATATATATATATATACACGGGGAGAGGAGTGTACCTGGTTTGGTTGGTGTTTTTCTGACTTTCCCTCCCCCCCCCCCCTTACCAATCAATGTAGATTATTTGGCCGAAACTCCCTTTCCCACCGCCGCCCGAGAACATCCCCTCCAAAGCGGTTTTCAAAGCGCATCGGTTTGTTTTGGGTAGCAAGCAGGCGATCTGGCTTGAGAAGTGCCGATAAATACCCGAAACGATCAAAACAAAAGAGCAGGGCAGAGGCCATAAATAAGAGATAATGAATACACATGGTGTATTTCTGAGTATTTCTGGCAACAGCCCGCCGCGCCCCGGAGCGCCGGGAGGGGGCGGCGGGAGGCGGCGGCCGCTCAGTAGTCGAGCTTGTTGTAGAGGTTGTAGAGGGGTAAGGCCGAGAGGTTGCTGCCCGGGTAGTAGAGCGGCGCGGGGAAGGCGAGCGAGCGCGGCACCGGCACGCGCAGCAGCGAGCTGTCCCGGAACACGAGCGGCATCCCCACGAGAGTCTGCGCCGACGCGTGTGCCATGTTGGCCGCCTCCAGCTCCGCCGAGAGCTGCCGCTTCCACTTGTTGCGGCGGTTCTGGAACCAAGTCTTGACCTGGGTCTCGGTGAGCTGCAGGCTGGAGGCGAGGCAGGCGCGCTCCGAGCTGCTCAGGTAGCGCTTCACGTCGAAGGTGGACTCGAGCTGGTACACCTGGCTGCGCGAGAAGACCGTGCGCGTCTTCTTCTTGGCGGCGCCCGCCTGCCGCTCGCCGCCTGCGTCCCGCGGCCGCTCGGGCCCTGGCGACGGCGAGCCCGCGGGCAGGAGCCTCTCCTTCTCCTCCTTAAAGTCCGGGTGCGAAGCAGAGAGGAAAGGCGTGCGCTCCGAGCTCGCCGGCCCCGCGCCGCCGCCGCCCTTGGGGGTACCTGGAGAGGGAGAACAGGCAGGGAGGCATGGACGGGGGGAGCCTCCGGACCCCCCAGCCCCGGCCGAGGCCAGGGCGATGCCGGGCGGCGGCAGCCCCGGTCCCAGCCCCTTCCTCTTCTCCCTCTCGCTGGTACCCAGCGCCCGGCCCCCTGGCCTGGAAAAAGCAACGGGACCCAGCTCCCTCCAGTACGGGGTCTCCCTCTGCGCCCCCGGCTTCGTGGAAAGGAAGGAATGTGGCAGCAGGGGGAGGAAGTCTGCACGGGGTGCACTAGCATCATTTTAAAAGGTGATTTTTGCCTCCTGATAACCGAGCTGGAAGGGTTCCCCGAGCTTTATAGTGTGGCATCATTTCACAGGCCGTTTGTTCGGAAATCACGCTAAGGACCAACGCGGGGCTCCCCTTCGTCAGTGTTGTAAAGAGGAACCATCTCTGAAAGGCACCATTGTCAATCATCTTGGAGTGGTAATCAGGCCGGGGTGGGGGGGGCGGGCAGAGGGGGGGGGAGAGGAGGAAAACAGAAGCTGGAAGAGATTGCGGTGGAGACAGATGGACCGCTGGGACCCGACTTCTAGACCTCTTGTTCGGAGAGTATCCGACCGATGTACAAAGGGGACACTGAGGGCAGGGCCGTGTGTGCGGCCCGCCCAGGACCAGCCCGCGGTGGTATGTTCTCCTGCCAACCCAGCCTTCTCCGAGCCCGCGCCGCGCGAGGTCTGTGTTCCCGTCACCTCCCGAGCCCCCTCCGGGAGGAGGAGACAACAACGCGCGCGTGTGCCCTCCCTCCTCCCTGGACCCCGGGCGGGCGGCCGGGGCTCTGGCCGGAGGGGGCCTGGATGGACCCCGGCACAGCTTCCCTCCCCTAGAGCTTGCTCGCGGCCGACCCGGCGGCGTGCGATCCTTACCCAGGCAAGGAAAGGGGATGGGGGGGTGATGCTTGGGGCCCGGCTCCTTGGGGCCGTGCGGGTCTGGGCAGAAGCAGGCAGGTGCCTTCCAGCCGTCGTCCGGCTCCTCCTCCTCCGAGGACACGGACAGGCTGCGCTTCCTGGCCGGCCAGCCGGCGGGCTCCCGTGGCACCTCCGAGGGGCCCCCGCCCAGGATGGACTGAATGGTGAAGCTGGAGACGCCGCCGGCCGCCGGACACCCCTTGCCTGCATCTTCCTTGCTGCCCATCCTGGGTTCATAAGAAATCGGAGGAAACCAAGAACTCCCTTTAGAGACGATCTGGGTGGAAGGTGGTGCAGGCAGGCAGGCAGGCGGGGGGAGGGGCGGGGAGGGGGGCGGGGGGAGGGGGCGGCGAAGCTGGCGAGGCGTCCCCTTTGCGCGGGGGACACGCGGGCACGGGATGGCTGCGCGGGGACCCCTGCCTGCCCGGCTCTGGGTGCGCCCGCCCAGCCCCGCCGCGAATGCCCGTTCCTTGCCCGCCAGCTCGCGGGGTCTCCGCGGGCGCGGAGGTGGCGCGGCCTCATTTGCATAGAGGTTACCCGGCCGCGGCCAATCGCAGCGCCGCCGAGAGGCCCCGGAAATTTTCAAAAAGCCCAGGCCCTGCACGCAGCCACTGTGCGGCCCGGAGCGCGCCGAGCCCCCGGCGGGCATCTGCAGTGTCCAACCAGGCACTGCCTGGCGGGCAGCAGCACGGGTTCCAGCCCGCGCCCCCGGCCAGTGTGGCGACTCCCACGGCCCGGACTCCGGCCCTCCGGAGGGGCAGGGGCGGCGCGGGGCTCCGAGCTGGAGTGGCCGGACGCCTCCCTCGAGCGATGATGGGTCCTCGCACCGTCGAAGGAGCTCCTACAGGCTGCTCCAAGACCCTCCCCTAGCCTCCCACCCCTTCTCCCCCACGGCGGGCGGGCGGCGGGGCGGGGGTGCAGAGCTGGCACCCCAAGACCGCTTCGTCCCTCATGGGAGGGAGGGGGTTTAGGAGCATGCGCCTCCTCCGAACTGGGAGCTTAACTGGGAGTCCCAGGAACAGACAACTTCTGTGCATCCCAGCCTACAGAACTCACCCCTGTAACAGGCCCAACGTGTTAGCCTGCATGATCCTTGGGGATGGGGAGGAGAGACCTGGATCTTGCCGCAAGGGATCCTGGTTCAAGTCCCAGCGCCACCATTTACAGACTGCGTGAAGTAGGACAAGTCCAGTCCCAGTTATACCCTCACTGCCCTCACAGGTGAAATGAACTTCTCAATTGCATCTCCCCATTTCTCCCGTTTTGAGGAAGGCATCGGATAGGAGAGGAAAAGGCACCAAAAGCCCAGAAGCACTAGGAGCTCATAATAGCTATTCTGTAAACTTTTGCTGAATAGCCCATGGCCCACCCTCTGTTTCACAAGTGATCCTCGCTTTTTGGCCAATATTGCAGGCCACGGAATTGCTGCAGAAATAGAAGCGCTTTGATGCTGGGAAGAAGAAGGAGAAGGAGGTGAGAACAGGATATGGTTTTAGAATAAGGCAAAAATCGATCCAAATCTCACCCGGGTGACCTTGGGCACGATACTAAAACTTTCTGAGCAGCAGTTTCCTCCTTTCCCAAAATCCGAGGAAGCAATGCCCACCTCCAAGAAGTTAGCTTAGGTCAAAGTGGCCAACTCCAGACGCCGGGTAAGTGTTCAAGAAACCGTGGTTGGTTCTCTCCTTGCGGCCGCCTCTAAGCCCCGGCTCTCGCCCCTTTAATTCCCAGATCGGCTGTTACTGGATCTAGAAGCAGCCTGGTGCCGGCAAAACGGTACCAGGGCACAGTTGTCTACACAAGCATCGAGGAAACCAAGGTGAGGTAAGACCCCAAGGCGCTAAGGCAACGCCATCCTCCGGCGCTGGGACCTCGGGACCCATCAGCGGAGAGGTCTTGGGAGCCCCCTGCTCCTAGGATATCCCCCAAACGCAACCAAAGTGATAGGAGACTCTGGAGTCAATCCCCACACATGTCCAGACACTGCACCATGACGGTGCAGTTCCCTCCTCGCCCGCGCCGCGCGGGGTTATTGAGTAAAGCGCTTATAATATCATTAGCCGGTGAGTTACCGACGGCAGCCCTACCCGTGGCAAAACCTCTCGCTACTTAACTCCTCGAAGGGCTCGTTAATGGGCTAATTGATTAGGAGTCGGCAGTGCAGCCGAGCAGGGGCAGGCGAGGGGGTGGAGGTAGGGGCTGTGCGCCACGGCCCGGGAGGCCGGCGAGGGGCAGGTGCCGGCCTCCGTCACCGCATTAACCTCTTCAGGGCTCGGCGGCGGGGTCGAGACACATTACAAATGGTCAGCTTTAATCATGGTGTCAGCTCATTAACCCGGAAGGACCCGGCGCTGAAATACAATTTGTGCGCCCTCTGCGCGGCCGGCGCAGGCTCGTGGGCCACTCGCAGCCTGTCCCGCGCGCTCCCGCCGGGGTGGGGGGTAGAGGGGAGGTTCCTGGAAAGACGGAGCCCACTCTCACCCGCCTGCGGCCTCTCCGCCTGCCTCTAGCACCCTGAGTCGGCTCTGTCTCCCGCCCCTGGCCAGGCGAGGCGACCCCGAGGGACATTGGCCAAGCCGGAGAGCAGAGCTGGTTAGGCTCTGGGGAGGAAAGTGGAGTTGGTGGGGGGCATTGGTTTGACCCTGTTTACCTGGTGCTGACAACCTGGAACACGCCTGGAGCAGCCCATCGCTCTTCACTTTAATCCTCACTGCAGACCTATGGTGCAGACCTTCATCCCCAAGCTACAGGCAGAGAAACTGAGGCCCAGCCCGAGCAGAGGAAGCAAAATTGAATTCAAGGTTGTTCCACTGCCAATACCAAGCCTTTGAGAGGAGGTGAGGGGTGGGGCAGGCTTTGGCATGGAGTTTGGAATGGCTGCGGGGAAGGCTGTGAGGACCCCAGCTATCTGGCCGCAGCCAGGGCAGATGTATGGGTGGGGTCAAGGGCCCACTGAGTTGGCCTCTGCCAGGGCGGGGGACCGTGCGAGGTGGTGGCCTCTGGGGTGGGCCTGGGAGAAGCAGCTCCAAGGCCAGGAGCAGCGAGGGACTCCGGGTGGGGAGAGGGGTGTGGCGAGGGGGCTGACCCCTGCGGCCTGGTTTGAGAACTCAAAACTAGGAAACCACGCAGCCCCGCCACCCTACAACCTCGCCCCCGCCTCCCACCCCCGGCTAGTCTGGGAAGTCAAAGGAGCCATCTGGCTTCCCTCGTACTCCGCTTGCTCGCTACTTCCTCTCGCATTGACCGTCCGGTCTACACAGAGGCGCGCTATAGTTGTGTCCTGCGTAGCCTCCGCTACCTCCACACCCCACGTATCTTCAGATGCACATGCATTAAGCCACATGCACGCTCTTGCATAAACGCTTACGCATTCACACGCATTGAGTCAGCAGATTTTCGTTAAGCTCCTACCAGGGCATGTGCACAGTCACATGTACACCCTCACACGTGCACACGCACACTCTACCCTGAGCCAGGGAAGTGATGGTGGGCGCAGGACGAAGGCGGGGAGGCCACGTCAGAGACCAAGCAGACTCTCGGCTCTGCCATCCGAAGGATTCTCCTCTGAGCTCTCCTCTGCAATTCCCAACTGGTCACCCGTCTCCCACCCTTCGTGCACTGATGACAGTCACCCCACAGGAGCCGGAAGGCCAAGACTTGATCTTCCCGCCATCCCTTTGTGGCATCTGGGGGTCCCCGACACCTCACCCAGAGCGCAGAGGCCCAGACGCCCTCTCCTGGGCCACCACAGCTGTAAAACACACTCCCAAGAACCATCAGCTCCAGGAACCACCACCCACAGACACCCCGTCTCTCCGTCCTCAAGGGTGGCAATCTTTCAACTCTGCACCACCTCCCGCCCCACCCTCCTAGTCTGGGGATAGCTCCGCCCCTCCCTGCTCCATTCAGATTAACAGCCGGTACTCTGAGTATGGCCCCTCCTCATTTGTGGGATCGCCCCTTCCCTAGGAATTAGACACAGCTGGGTTCGAGGAATGATAAACTTTCCGAGACTGAAAGGACGCTTAAAGTTTAGGTCTTGAGATTATGCCACTGCTCAATATTAAAGCGGCCCAGAGCAAACTTGCCGAGGAGCCTAATAAAAATTGATCCTCTCTGCTCTGCAGCAGTTGGGAAATAGGCTGGCTGAGCCGGGTAATAGTGGAAGAAGGCTCCCTCCGAAATGACAGATGAAGTCATAAACAAGTTTGATCTTGGAATCAAGCTTCGATAAATATTAAACACAGTCTGCCCCCCCACCTTTACGGGAGTGGATTATGATATATGGCGCGTCCAAACTTTAAAATAAGG